TGATCCCTTTGACACCTTGTCATCTCACAGGCTGGTGTGCATTTTCCATGTGGGCTTTGTTGTTTCTCAGTTAAACCAGTTGATTTTGGTCTGACCTTGAGACCCCAGCCCCAGGGACTCCTTTTCTCCAGGTGTTTGGTTATGTCCAAGATGTTTTCATCAGTTTGCCACTTATATGCTCTCCCACATCCATGAATACAGTTGCAGCAGAGGTTCCCATGCACAAAAACTTCTGTCAAAGCTATATATATTTATGTGTGTATACTCTACCTTCCACACCTGCTCATTCTGTGTATCCACCCATTCATCTACTTGTAGATCATCATTATTGCAGGATTGTATGCATAATAGTAGTTACTCCTATTGCCTTTTAGTGTTTATACACGTCCCAGTACCCCTCACTTCCACCATTTTTTACTGTCCTTAAAAAAAATTATTACATCTTTCCATAGTTCAGTCATGTCCACCAGAATTGTACATTTGCTACCACAATCAGTTTCCAAATATTTTTATCTACATGGACTTCTTGACATCGTCTCCCTGAATCCTTTATTCTACTTGTGTATATACTTGTGTATAAGCCTAGTTTTTTCAGCACATTTTTAATGCAGTTTTTATGGTAAAATTAGGTGCTTCAGCTGATATTCTGGTTGGCTTATACTCGAGTACATATGGTACTATGTATAGATTCATCAATAGTTTCATATACCGATAAATGAAAAAAACATAACACGACTTCAAGAGGGTGACTCCAGTGACCAAACTCCTTTGAGATACCTCTAATATGTACAAACACCAAACAAAACAATACAAACCCAAAACACAGAAAATTTTGGAAACCAGATCAGGTCCACCAGGCATCATTAGTGGGAAACCCAACATCATGCATGTTAATTACAGGTTGCATTTTTGTCAGTATATTTTCTACTGAGAAATCAGAATATAATTGTACTAGTTTTTGTAGGTAAACACTTCCCACTCCCCCACGCTGGCTGATCTCAGAATTTTTTCCTTGTCTTTTTTTTTGTCTTTGGTTTTAGAAAGTTCAGTTATAATATGTCTTGGTGATTTTCATTTGAGGTCGATCCTGTTTGGGATTTGTTCAGTTTTGTTGAATGCCTGTCTTCTCATCTTTCATGATGAACAGAGAAGGGTTTTTTCCTTCCACCACTCCTTGGTGATTTTCTGTATAGTTTTTGTTGTCTCTTCTTGTTCTGGAATTCTGATCACACATAAGTTCCTTCTCTTGATTGTGTTCTACATATTTCTTTGGCTTCCTTTGGCCTGGGGGTGGGGGTGGGGGGTGGCAGAGGATAATGTGTATGTATATTTAACATAAATAGAATACAGCATAAATATATATAATCATCTAGCAGATTAATATTGAGAGATTTACTTCAACCTTACTAGATTTGCTTTCCAGTGATTCAGTTCTGCTCCTTTCCTCTATCTATCTATATTTAGCCGTTTTATTAGGGGCTCATACAACTCTTATCACAATCCATGCATACATTAATTGTGTAAACCACATTTGTACATTCATTGCCCTCATCATTCTCAAAACATTTGCTCTCCACCTCCCTTTCAATATATTATCTATTCCTGAAATCTTTAGAATTCTGTATATCTATTTGCAGCTTTTTATGGTTTCTAATTTTTTTATCTTGTCACTCCTGTAGTATTTTCCTGAAGCCTTCAAAACTTTATTTTCGTTGATTATGTGTTTTACTTTCTCACAATCTATTGAAAGCACCCAAATAATATTCTTTTGAATTACTTAACGGGTAGTTAAAGTGCTAATCCTTTAATAGAAATGGTTGCTTGTTTGAGTCACTCTGCCTTGTTTATTTATTTTTTAACTCGTTTATTGTCAATTCACCCACATATCACATAATTCAGTAGTTCAATCATATCAGGAACAGCTGTACAGTCATCACCACAATCAATTTTAGAAGTTTTATTTTTATGGTTAGATGGCTTTTAAAATGAGTTGTGTAGTCATCATCAGTTCTAACGCTACCCCCATACATTATTTGCTCCCCCAATGTTACCTCACCCTCCCCATCTCCCACCCTCCTGCCTTCTTTCTTCAAGTGAACTGATAGTCTTTTGTTTCTGAGACTTTGTGATGGTGGTGTTAATTGATGATTGTGTTTTTAGTCTTTCATCACCTATTTCCTAGTGGACGTAATAAAGAATGTGATTATGTATGTAATTTCCTCTTTGCTGTTCATGTATCATAATTGGAGCCTCATTTGGTTTGTTTTGGCTGCTGTTGATGGTAAGATGGTATAACAGTTGGGTGGTGGTCTGTGTCTAACAGGTGCTACTGGGAGTTCAGGTGTGGCTGGGCCATATGGACCCAGCTGTCTCTCCCATCGGATGGGATAAGTAGACAAACAGCAGCACAAAAAGGAAAGAAAAATAAAAAA